CAATATTTGTCCTTTTGCAACTAACTAAATTCACTCAGCATAATGCCTTCCAGATTCCTCCATGTTATGTTTCACAGATTCATCGTTGTTCTTTATCGTTGTGTAGTATTCCACTGTGAAAATATACCATAAATTGTTTACTCATTCGTCCGCTGATGGGCACCTAGGTTGTTTCCATCTTTTTGCTATCATTACAGTGCTGCAATGGACATGGATGTGCATATTATCTATTCATGTGATGGCTCTTATTTCTCTAGGACATATTCCAAGGAGCGGGATTGCTGGATCGTATGGTACTTCTATTTCTAGCTTTTTAAGGAAGTGCCAAATCGATTTCCAAAGTGGTTGTACCATTTTACTTGGTTTGGTTTTTGGTGAATATGAACATATTGTTTAGATGCCAAAGTGAAATGTAAACAAGTTTCCATCTCAGACACTGGCCATAATAAGCATGAAATTCATCTTAGAAGACAGCATCTGAAGAATTAAATGATCCAGTGGATGTCACAAAGCTTTTAATGATTTAACTGCTGAGCCAATGGTATAATCTGGAAGATATTACCTTGGGCTTAATATAACTGAGAAGGCTTTCAGGTAAGGAAGACAACTTGAATATTTTTGGTACAAAGAAGCATGTTCATTCATTCATTTGTTCGTCTATTCTTTCAACAAATTTCAATTAAGCCTCTATCATGTGCCAGACACTGCGCTCAGTGTCAGAGAGGCACGGAAGACAGTCTCCACCCCAGGGTATCACTATTTAGTGAAGGAAAAACATTAAAACAAAGCTATAGTAAATCACATTAGAAATAAGTACAAGCACTTCGGGAAAATGGAAGGAATAAGTAGCTCCACCTGGAAGGTCGGGGAAGGCTTGAAAGAGGAAGTAACTCTTCACCCGAAACTTGAAGGATGAACAGGAGGAATTCCCCAGGCAGATCAGGCCATCCCATCCAAGGGACATACGAGGGCACAGCAGCAAGAAAGACCAGAGCTCTCCTCACACTGCAAACAGTTCAGAAGGCAGAAACACAGTGTGCGTGAGCCCTCAGTGGCAGGAGGACAGGTAGGCAGCTGGGGGAGAGGATGGTAGCGGTGATGAAGCTGGAATGGAAAACAAGGATCAGCCCGTGAGGGCCTCTGAGTGCTGTGCTCGAGAAGGTGAACTCAGCAAGCCGATCAGAACTTCCCAGAGTGTGACCCAGGGATCACCTGCATCGGAATCCCCTAGGGCCCCACTGGTCGTGAAATTAATTTAGTAAGCTGGATAAGCATTTTAAAAAATAAATGGAATAGAGATTATATTGCATGTATTAGGGTTTTTTTTTTTTTTAATCGATGCGTGTATGCGCGCATATGTATGTACTGAGCCGAGAAACAAAATCTATTTCTTTCGGTGGGGCGTAGTCAAAGAAGTTAAGAAACGCTGATACAGGATGCTTGTTAAAATGCAGATTCCCAGGCCTGGCACCTGACCTATAAAATTAGTGGGAGTGTGGCCTGGAAGCTATGTTTTTAAGCAAGTACTAAGGGATTCAGTACTAAGTATAGGGTCAGTGAAAAAGAGGAAGACCCTCAATGAGATGGACTGACACAGTGGCTCCAACAATGGGCTCAAACATGGCAACAAGTGTGAGGATGGCGCAGAACTGCGCAGTGTTTCGTTCGGTTGTACCTGGGGTCACTATGAGTCGGGAACGACTCGACAGCACTTAACAACAACAAGGGATTCACACGCACACTCCAATCGAAGACTACGCTGAGGGTGATTTGGAGCACTGATGGATGGTAAGTGGAGATCTGAAATGACCAGACTGGCTTTAGAAGCATCTTTTGGGACACAGAGGATACAAACTGATTGCAGGGAGATCAAGAACAGAGGCAGGAACTCGAGCGGAGAGGTTATCACCAACGGTCCAGGCTGACGATGTAAGCTTCCATTCCTACCGTGGCAGCAAGGAGAGTGAGAAGATGGACTGAGAGGTGGTCAGGGTGGGTGGACACAACAATCTGTCTGGAACAGAGAAGGCTCCATGAAGAGGAGCAGTGGAAGAGAAGACAGGAAAGGTGTGTTGGAGCTACAGCAGGCTGGGTGACTCTGAATGCACGCCCGTTTAGTTTTTAAACTACATAGGGAGCTCCTGGAAGTTTCTGATCACAATAATATGCTAAAGCACTGTTCTAAGAAGACTATCCTGCTGCTCTTGTCAGTTGCTGTCAAGCTGATCCCAACTCATGGTGACCCCACATGTGCAGAGCAGAACTGCACTCCATTGGGTTTTCAAGGCTGTGACTTTTGGGAAGCAGATCGCCAGGCCTTTCCTGTGAGGTGCCTCTGGGTAGGTTTAAACTGCCGATCTTTTGGTTTGTAGTCCAGAGATTTACCACTTGTGCCAGCCAGGGACCCCTCAGAATATTATCCTAGTGAGGAACATCAGGGGAAAAAGGATACCACCACAACTCAGATTATGAAATCAGTTCCCCAGCTAGGGAGAGAGCAAAAGGGTTAGGAGAAGGAATGGATGTTCAAACAAACAAACAAAAACTAACAATCGACAAACAAACACAGTGTAGGACCAACTGGCAGGATCATCTAGAAAGAACAGCACAGTGGTCAACACCACGAGCTCTGGAGCAGGGCTACCTGTCATTCAAATCCCAGCTCCACCATCCACCAGCTGTGTGACTGAGAAAACTACTTAACTTTTCTATGCCTCCATTTCCTCATTTATAAAGTGGAAATAATAATAGTACCTGCACGTCATAGACTGTTATAAAAATTAAATGAAGTAAAATATATAAAGCAGTTACTATGTACTGGGAACCACTGTAAGTACTATATGAGTATTTGTTATTAACATTGTACCTGGTTCTAGATTGCTAAAAAAAAAAAAAAGCTTCCACAGATAGCCCATCAGCTTCTCCTTTTTAATGCCTTTACCTTGGGAGTCAGGAGACCTAGGTTTGAATTCCAGCTTGCCACTTATACTGTATGACTTGAGAAAGTTATACAACCAAAACTTAGGTTTCTCCTCTGTACAGCAGTGCTCTTATAATGATTCAATACAATAGTGCAGATAAAGCACTTAAAATGGGCTTTCTGACGTATAAAAAGCACTTAACACATGGCAGCTATTCTTTGTAATCGCCTCGTTTTGTACGGCATTATCCCTGTTTTCTGCTGCATCTAGATCTAGATGGACTCCTTGCGTTTGTCCCTTTAACTTGGCAATCCATCAAAATTTTCAGTGAGCCGCTTGACCTATGAATTTTCCCCTTCTAAAAATTTATCCTAAGAAAATATAACATAAGAGCTGAACATGTATATACAATGGAGTCTTTGAAATAAAATGAAAACGACCTAAACGCTCGTTAACAGATGACTAGGTAAACAAATTATGGTCTACCCAAACAACGGAATATTCTGTTAAAAGAATAAGCCAGATTTTATAAGTACTAACATGGAAAGATGTTTAAGATATATTCCAGAGTAGAAAAATGAAGCGGTAGAGTAGGAAGTATAGCATGATTCCATTTATATAAAAAATATCTGTCTACGTTGACTATACACACATAAAGTAAACCCTAGAACAACAGACACCAAGCTCACCAACAGCCTCCTCTGGAGGGTGACACTAAAGGGGAAGGAGACTTTTGTTTTCACCATTATACCTGTTGTTGTTATGTGCCGTCAAGTCAGTCCCAGCTCACAGCCACCCTACAGGACAGAGGAGAACTGCCCCATAGGGTTTCCAAGGAGGGGCTGGTGGATCTGACTGCTGACCTTTTGGTGAGCAGCTGTAGCTCTTAACCACTGTGCCACCAGGGCTCCATCACTATACTAAGCTGTATGAAGAATAAAGGCCTAGAGAAGAGAGACGCAGACTGCAGACCTTACGGTTCACAAAAACAGTCATTGTCTTTGAACACATTCCTTAAATTATCATCCTAGCTCTTAAATTATTTTTATACATTCAGGAAAAACACAGACCAACAATATAAGCATGTCTTGAATACGACAAAGAAACTTAATCTTTGAAATTTTTACAGTTATGCAATTCCTGAATTGTGCACATTTAAGTAGCTGCAGAAGACATGAAAATGCAGACTACGGTGACGTAGGATGCCAGCACTGAGCGTGGAAATCATTCGTCTGTTCTAACAGTACAGGGTGCTTACAAGTGCCGGTGCTGTGCCGAACAGTGCCGTTAAGTATAAACGTTTAATGAATGTTATTTTAGTATCCTCCAAAACCTACTAAAAAGTAAGTATCTTCCTACATGCAAAAAGACACTATGAAAACATTTTGTGTGGCTTCCACTTGTATTCTGCCACTTCCACATTGAGGTTAATTTAAGTTTCACTGCTGAATACGCCCTTGAGTTACATGCACTCCAATACCTTAGAATCACAGCACCTAGTCAGCATTCGAAAAGGAGACTGTATGTTGTCTCCTGAAATGGCACAAGGACACATTCAGAGAACCAGAGCGTCTCTGAGAAGGTTTTCTTACAGAAAACGACGACACGCCCCACTAACACCAGAAAGCCTTCTCTGCGTAAGAAAAGTGGTTTTTTCAACAACTGTAAAAAATTTTGAATAGATTTCACTCCTCAGATAAGGTACAACAAGTAGCAAAATGAACACACGACGTCAACAGCTTTTAAAACACAGGTTCAAGAGACACACAGACGTCACTTACACAATAAGCCAAATCCGAGTCAAAGAACAAACACCAACCAGTGCCATCAAGCTGACACCCCATGGGATCCCGCGTGTGTCAGAGAAGGACCGGGCCCCACAACCAGTGCCATCAAGCTGACACCCCCATGGGATCCCACGTGTGTCAGAGAAGGACCGGGCCCCACAGGGTTTCCAGTGGCTGGTGTTTTGCAAGTACACTGTCAGGCCTTTCTTCGCAGGCACCTTTCGGGTAGCAGATGAGCACCCCCCAGGGGCTCCATCCAAACACTAGAAGTGACCATATTAAACATACTTACCACTGAAAGGATTGATTCCTGCCCTTATTCGTGAAATAACAGCTTCTTTTACTTCTTTTTTCTTTACACATCGAATACCCAAATTCTGAAAACTAAAAGGGAAAAATAAGTTTTAAAACTACATTACAGTTAAACACGAAGACACATAACGAGGTTCTACTTGCAGAAATCAAATATATATCCAACACCGAGTAGTGGTCGATGGAGATTCTAAAGCATGAAATGTATTTCCAAGTGCTAGGATAAAAATGCAAGGGTAAAATGATGTTACATTTCTATGAGAATTGTCAAAAGAGAAAGAGCACATACTATATCATCTTTACATACAATATTTTATAATTACGCCTCACTAATATAGCTAAGGAGCCCTGGTGGTACAATATTAAGCACTTGGCTGCTAACCAAAAAGTCAGGGTTCAAATCTAGCCAGTGACTCTGAGGGAGAAAAGACCTAGTGATCTGCTCTCATAAAGATTATAGCCTAGGAAACCCCATGGGGCAGTTCTACTCCATCCTGTCGGGTCTACTATGAGTCAGAATCGCCTCAATGGCACTCAACAACAGCAAACAATATGCCTATGTCAAATATACCAGAGTAGGTAGAGCTTAATAGGAAAGCAAAATCAAACAGCTAAAAGTCACCTCCCAGACAAATTCATAATTAAATCAATGAAATCTGTATATCTGATTAGGTCAAGCAGAAGCTGTAAAAAGATACCCACAGGTATGTTGCCTACATTAAAGAAAAAGTGTATAGGTTGCCAACATTTAAGAATCAGGTAATTACGTACAAATATCTGGACTTCTGGCTCTTCCTGAGTCTTTTAAAGGCCTGGCAATGCTAGGCTGGCACAGAAACAACAGGCTGGAGCTGATCACCGCTGCCCCATTACCCAGGGCGCCCTGGTTTGCTACAGGGCCTGCTAGTTCTCTTCCTCCTGACCCCTCTACTCATTTACACACCTGCACGGCCCACAGACACTTGTTTTTTAACCCCTGATTTCACTGCTAGAAGCAGTAGAATATAATATGGTTTGTGCTGTATTATGTGAAGTTATAATCACCCATTGTAAGAAAGCATTGAAATGTGTTTTTTAGAACATTAGTAAGAGGTTTAACACTAACAATAATATTTAACAAAAGCTTCAAAATGTCATTTATGGAAAACTTCTCAATAGCTACAAATATTACTAATTTGCATTATGTGTGGTACAGATCGTGGGGGGACTCCCCCACCACCAGCAATCATACTTGCTCCCACATGGAAAAACCATGACGTCATTCAGTTGGGTGGGTGTGAATAAGGAAGCAAAACTCGGTTATAATAACACTGCTGCTTGTTCCAGCTTCATGGGCGACTGGCAGCAGGAGGCTGCCTCCGTGCCTCTCGAGCTCATGCCGAGTCTTACGTTTACTCTTCACTCATCACACTCGTGATTCTGCCAGCACCTAAAATGTCCTGACATTTCCTTCCTCTGCCTCCAAAAATTAAAAAATAAACCTTAAATTTTTAGTCCTTACTTGAAATTCTAAAACTATAATCCTCTTCCTCAAAAGTATTCCTCTTCTTTGAAAGATTTCTAAGCTTGGTTGTCTCTTTTTCTCCGACAAAAAGGTTTTAACGAATTCTTCCTTTTAATATATTTATATACTACTTGATTTTGTTTTATCTAAATAATCAGATTTGACTGCTATTCACAGAATATTAGAAGTATTGGTGATTTCTGAAATTCTGACATGAGGAAATCAAGGCTCATAGAGACCTGAAAGTGACTTGTTAAAAAAAAATTACTTTCAAATGGCAAAAGTTCAAAAAAGCATTCAAGGGTCTGAGGCACCCAAAGAATCAAACATGCAGTCATCAATTACTCATTCATAATCCTCCAAAAAGTTTTCAGCTTCTACTATGTACCAAAAACCCCAGAAAGCACTGGGGGTTTACAATCCCTCCCGTTCTGGAGCTTACTGTCTACCACAGGGGTTGTGAACCAAGGCCCATGGACCAAATCCAGCCGGCCACCTGTTTCTGTAAATAAAGTTTCATTGGAGCACCTTCACACTCAGTCACCTACGCGCCGTCTACGGGGCACCTCCGCGCTCGGTCACCTACGCGCCGTCTACGGGGCACCTCCGCGCTCGGTCACCTACGCGCCGTCTA